GCTTTTAAGACTTCCACAAGTCGCTCTTCTTGTTGTTCATTCAAGTCCGCAGCAATAATCACTGGCAAAGTATTGTTGGCTTCCAAATAGACATACCGAAGATGAGAGGGTAATGTCTTCAACTCAAGAGATGGTGGCTCTTCAACAGAGGATTTCAAAGATGGTCTACTAAGAGAAGATAAATCTAGAGATTCAAATTGGACACGGTTTTTAGGATAAACCGGTGATGCATTCATGATAGCCATACACTCTTCTCTATCTTGAGTCTTTAATTGAGCTCCTAGCAACAAGGCTTTCAAAAAATCATTACGAATTGCCTCATTAAATTCTTCTTGTGCAACTTGATCAAGCATATCAACAAACAAGCATTGCTCAAGTTCATTGAGAGATTTCATCAACTTGTGCATGTTAAAAGTGACTTGCTCATCATCCACCCTCATAGTAAGCTCACCTTTTTCAACATCAATCAAGGTTCTAGCGGTTGCCAAAAATGGTCTTCCTAAGATAATAGGAATATCACGATCCACCTCACAGTCAAGGATAATGAAATCAACCGAAAAAATGAATTTATCCACTTTTACAAGAACATCTTCAATAACACCACATGGATAAGCCAAGCTTCTATCCGCTAATTGCAAAGTCACGGTTGTTGGTCTAGCTTCACCCAATTCCAATTTATTAAAAATAGAGAGAGGCATAAGATTGATACTAGCACCAAGATCACATAATGCCTTACCCAAAAATTTATTCCCAATATGACACGGAATTGAGAAGCTACCGGGATCCTTCAACTTTTGAGGTAGTTGCTTAATGATATCCGTACAACTTTTGGTTAGAGCAACCGTCTCAACTCATTGAACCTTCTCTTTTTAGAGAGCACATCTTTCATGAACTTAACATATTTGGGCATTTGCTCCAAAGCTTCCACAAAAGGAATGTTGATATGCAATTGCTTGAACATATCAAGAAACTTTTTGAATTGGCCATCTTCTTATTGCTTCCTAAGCCTTTGAGGAAAAGGTGGTGGAGGCACATATTTTGGCTTGGCCTCTAGTTGCTTTTTCTTATCACCAACCTTTTTGGCTTGATCTTCATTGTTTTTCTCTTCTTGATTATTCTTTGAGTTGTCACACTCTTCAACCACAATTTCTTTATTAATCACTTCATTATCAACAATCACTTTAGTAGCACCACTGCTCACACCACTTGCACTTGGCATGAAAACTTCAGGTAATTGCATCCCACTTCTCAAAGTGATTGCTTTACACTCCTCCTTACCATCCTTTTTAGGATTTGGAATGGTGTCACTAGGGAGATTACTTCTTGACATAGCATTCATTTGTGAAGCCAATTGCCCCATTTGCACTTCGAGGTTCTTGATTGCGGTATCATGAAGAGTAAGAGTTGCCTTAGTTTCAACTCTTGCAGACTCTTGATTACTCAAGATTTGTGCTAGCATCTTTTCCATTCTAGACTCCTCTTCCTTAACCGGCATTAGCTTTGGTGGTACTTGAAAACCCGGAGGGTGAAGTGGCTTGACATTAGAGGATGAAGGTTGATTTGAAGAATTCCCTTGACTCCATGAAAAATTAGGATGATTCCTCCATCCTGAGTTGTATGTTTGAGAGTAAGGGTTGTTGTGAGGGTTTTGAAACTTGCCCATATAGTTGACAGACTTAGTAGTCATATAAAAGGACATTAATCGGGCATGTGCATATCATTACATTAATTGCACACAGTTGGAATGGCTTGGACAGCATGCACATTATGAGAATTTCTCCTTTACATTTGAGATTCTAACACATCAAAACACTTGTTCATTGCATTCAAGATGGATACAATCTGGGAAAAGGAATCATCTTTAGCACTAGTCACCATTGATGTATTCCTTCTATTCGTGTTTTGAGTATTGTTCGCAGACAATTGGTCTAAGAGGTGAAAAACTTCATTGACAGGCACATTTCGATATCCTCCATTTGTGATAGAATCAACCATGGCCTTCGAAGATGGATTCAGACGATTACAGAATATCTGAATCACTACCCATTTGTCCACTCCATGATTAGAGCATTTCTTCATCAATATCTTGTATCTCTCCCAAGCTGCATAGAGATGTTCCTCTGGATATTGCTTAAAGCTAAGAAATTCATCTCTTGCTTCTATCATTTTATCATCAGAGAAGAATCGGGCTCTAAACTTGTTGTCAAGATCCTCCCATGAACCAATAGAACCTTCGGGAAGATTGTTGAACCATTCTTTAGCCTTGTCTTGTAGAGAAATTGGAAATAACCATAAGCACAAGACATCTTTAGGCACCCCATTTTGTCTGAAAGAATCACATACTTCCACAAAAGACATCAAGTGCTTGTTAGCATCTTCATTAAATAGACCATGAAACACACCATTCATTTGAAGCATTGTGATCATGGCGGGCTTGATCTCAAAAGTATGTGCTTGAAACTCCGACATTCGAATACAAGATTGAGTACCCCTCAGATTTCGGTTAGCAAAGTCATTGACTGAGGCGGTGTCATACTGGTCTTCTGCCATATTTCTCGATTGAGTTTCAGGAGTTCTTTCAGAATTAGGAGACTCGGTTTCTTCAAAGATTGTCAATCCTTCAAGTATTACTTCCAATCCTTCTGGGCCTATGACTTGCATATGCCAAATAAGTACCTGAGGAAGAAACAACCCAAGAAGTATCAAACTAAAACAAAAGCACTGAACAAGGACTAAATAAAAAACTAGAACTAATATCTACAAAGCTCAAGTGAAATCTAATATTACTAGTCTAAGGTTGATCAAAATATTTTCAAAAGCAAGTCCCCGGCAACGGCGCCAAAAACTTGTTGCTCACCACAAGTGCACGGGTCGTAGCAAGTAATATAATGAAAGTAAAGTATCGTTCCCTCGAGGATTTGTTCAAAAACAATGATCAAGCAAAAGACTAAGTAAATTTGATCAAGTTGAGCTACACAAAATTAGGTGAAAATGATTTTGCAAATGAAATTAACTCTAGAAAATAAAGAAAAGTGAGTGATTCACAAACTTCCAACACAATTTAGGACCTAGGATTAATTGTTCCCCTTGCATTTCATAACACCAAAATTACCTCATCTCATAAATGCTTTTAATGGAAATAAGTGCTAACCTAGGGTTCTAAAAATACTTGGACAAGCTCTCTCAAGTCATGAACAAGTATTTAGTTAAATTAATTGCCCAATCTCTTGTTACAATTAATAAAACTCAATTTTAAACACCAACCCTAATGTGGCTATGCAAGGCTAGCAAGTATATCTCTATCTTACTAGCAAAACCATCCAAAACCATCCATTCAACATGCAAATATCAAGTTCTTACACAATTTTACCCAAGTTCTACACTCAGCCTAGCCCTCTCAAGCATCAATTAAGTGAACCCAACATCTAAATGGTGGCCAATCAAGTAGAAGCATTAATGAAAGAGTAAAATAAACACATATATATCATTAATCACAAAAAGAGAGGAGAAATATGGTGTTAATCCATACAAGGGTTCCAATTAATCCTAGAACAAAGGGTTTAGCTACTCATAATCATCCACAAGCTACAAATATACAAAATAAGTGGAACCATTTCATATTACAAGAGAGGAAAGGGAAGAGGAATAGAAAAACCGAAGAAAATGAGCTCCAAATGTCTTCAAAGCTTCAATCTCTTGATCCCAACTCTTCCAATGTCCAAACCCTAGCACAACCAAGCTCCAAAAGTGTCTAAAAGTCTGAAGAATACGTTCTGGGTCGAGCTCTCAGCTTATATGTGTCCTAGCCAACTAATTTTTGATAAATGAAATGCAGCGTTTTTCGGACAGCGACGAAAGTCGCGAACGAAAGTGACGACTTTGAGACAACTTTGGCAGTTTTGCACTGTTTTTACAGCTAACAAAAATCATTCATTTTGCTCTTGATTTCTTCATCCAAAAGCCTTCCAAAAACATCCACAAAGCTCCAGAAATGCTTCTAATCAAAATAACATGAAATTAGGCCAAAAATATCAAATTAAAGCCAAGAACACAAGCCCAAAACATAATGCACATTTTCCTAAATTGGGCAATAAAAACATATACAATTAAACCAAAATGGACTAGAATCTAAGGAAAATGTGATGAAATAACATGAACTTCTAGAGGTTAACAGGTAGATAAGTTTGATCCCTTCATACTGGATTTTGTATATTGTGTTGCCAAAAATCACCTTGGAAACCAATTTCTTCTGTAAATCAATCTCTACACAACGCGAGCAAACTTGCCTCTCTCAATCTTATCATGCTTGGCCGTCCCTGTTCCTGTTTCATGCAGAGTATTAAGATCTACTTTTAAGGTCCTACCTACACAATCTCCTAGCCTCTAAACAAAATTTTTATTATAGCAATGCATGTTGACATTAGGAATCCTCATCCAAATTACAATTCTTCCCAAAGCATTATTATAAGCATCAAAAAATGGATCCCAGTGTTGGACAATCACACAGCTTTGTTGTATTGTCCAAGGACCCTCAAACACCACTTCTTTAGCCACTTCTTCATATCTATTAGATTCATGCTCCTTCCTAAAACTGTGACAATGAGAGCGTATTTCCATCATCGGCACCATTCTTGGAACTCATCATTTGTAATAAGGATCACAGGGTAAATTTTCATCAATTCTTTAACCTCCTCATTTGGTTCTGGCATTTTCCATTGTATATGATCCATGTCATCGAAAAAATTATCTTCTTCCATAATTGGAGTCCCATTGGCCACCCCATTGAATCTTAGTAGTGAGTCTCGGTAGGACACCTTCGGTTTACTCTGTTTTTGGCCTACTTCATCTTCTTTATTTTTCTCTTGGTTTGATTGTTGTTCTTCTTATACATCCTCCTCCTCGCTAGCCATAAGGTCATCCATTGTGGAATCCGTAGAAGGATATTGGTTTGACGATGCAAAGGAATTTTGCTTTTTCTTCTTCCCATTTCCTGGTTGCAGAGTGTCTGCCAGCCGATCCGGAGGTTGCTTACGTTGGTCCTTGACGTCGGAGTTCATCACAAGTCAGTTAAAAGAAGGGATTTTTCAACTTGAGAAGGAAACTTTGACGATTCGGAGCCGCCAAGTGCCAACTCTAATGCAAAGAAAATGATCCATTTTATAGAATTATTCTTATTTCTTGTTTCAATTATTTTACATTATTCTTGAATTTATTTATTTATCTTTCTTTAAAATTTATTTATTGAGGATTCTATTCATTAAAAAAATATTTTTGATCCCAAATTCATTAGCTAACAATGAACCTCCTGTCGATCATTGAAAGGCTTGCTACTATATTGGGTGAATATTTATTTTAAGAATGTCTCTTCTTTTGACGCATATTTTCAATTATGTGTTTTATGTTGAGACAATAATTTAGGTGCTCCACATTAACTATAAATGTAATTTTAGTTTGTAAATTTATATAGATTTCCTGTTGTCGAGGAGCAAAGTTCTGTATTATTAATTTATTTGTAACTAGTTATTGTAGAGATTCGAGGTGTCCTATTTACAAAGAAAGTTCTACAAAAATCCCTGCATTGAGTTTAGGGTCTTTTGTTTGTATGAAAAAAATGTTACTGTGATTTCCAACCCTATTTCAAATGAATTAAGATGTTAAATTAAAATTTTCTTACTTAAGGATTAAAGAATGTATGTTTATATATATATATATATATATCCTATGTCAATCACATCTAATTTTTAGGGCGTGACAAAATCTCTATGACATATCAGGCACATGGCATAATGTGGAGATTTTAATCATCAAGCATACCAAGCTGAATAATATTGACCAACAAAATCTTCAAATACCTCAGTTATCATCAAAGCACAACAGCTGAACTATTAGGTATTTTAGAAGGACTACAGCTTTGTTGGAATGTCCATTTTGACAAAATTAACATTTGCTCTGATTCTGTGGAAGCACTCTCACTTATCCAACATAATTTTCCCTGATAACCATCCTCTCTCTGGAATTATCAACAAAGTTAGAACTCTAGTTATGAAAGATTGAATCATTACCTTTGAGCATACATTTAGGGAAGCAAACAGATATGCAGACATGTTCGCTTACCTTGCCTCTCAGGATAATCTTGATCTTAGTATTTACAATCATTCACTTTTAGGATGTAAATCTCTTATAGAATCTAATATGACCTGATTTTATTTTATTTTTATACAGTTTTTCCGCGTCTTTGTACTAAAAAAACAATATTGACCAACGAAAATTTTCTAATTTTTTCCCTTTACTCCAATACGTCAAGTTTCATCGAAAAAAGGTAGATGGGACTTTTGAAGCACCAGGCGAAGAATCTCGTAATTTTGAGTGGTCGAGTGATGATGAAGATCATGTATGCATGTCATCGCGATTGCCGTTCGCGTACAATAAGGTTTTCCTCGCCAGGACAAGTGGGACATTCATTTTATTATTTGATTGTACTGTCTTTTTGGTGGTTTCTTTTGGCCTTGTTAATGTTGCTGCTTGCCTTTTGTTTTTGTGGTTGTATTAATTGAAATTAATCTTGCTTGATATTTTTTGATTGAATAAAATTTGGTGAATCGGCCACCCAATTGGTGATTTAAAAAAATCACAAGCTTTTTAAAATGAGTAAACTAGCAAATTACCTCTGAATTTCAGGTCTAAGAACATCATACCTTGAACTTGTTATTGTGTAAATTATTTCTTCAATTTTTAAAAATGATACAATTTGACTCTTATCATTAATAAAAGTTAATTTTGATAATTAATTGATCAGAAAATGACAAAAAAAACCTTAAAAATTACAGGACCTTTTATGTACTTTGTTGGGTCATTGTCAATAACTTTTAGGTCTTTTATTATAATTTTTTAATCTTTTTTTATAATTTTTTAGATCACTTTCTGGTTAACTAATATTTAAAGTTAACTCTTGTCAACATCTAAGACTAGATTGCACAGTTTTCAAAAGTTAAGAAATAATTTACATAATAAATAAGTTCAGAGTCTATAATATTACTAAACCAAAAGTTCAGGACATAATTTGCTTATTTATCTATTTAAAATTAATATAAAAATATTTGGCATTGAAATTAATCCTAACGGTCTCAATTTTGTTAAAATTATATAAATTTTAATATTTAAAAAGTATTTATGCCTATTCTATTTGTGGATTAATAAACCACAGACTCACGCAAATTTCTTATGAATTTAAAAAAAAATAAACGTGAAATAATTAACTTGCCAAAACTAAAATGAATTGGTTAGAATAAAATTATCTTAAAATTAAATCACTTTTCAATCTTGTCCCTAAATTTAAAAAAAGAATTATTTGAAATGTGAAAAGAATTTTCTTGAAAATTGAAACAGTGTACTTCTTTTTAAAATTTGATGGTTTTGAAATTGTATATTAAAGATTACAAAAACCAAGACAAAGTAATTTCTTTTTTTTTTTGGAGTGAGACAAAGTAACTTATATAAAGGACCAAAAAAAAACATTCTAGAATGTGAGTAATAAAAAAGACAGGAGGGAGTATTTAATAATAGCATATAAAAAATTCTTATTAATTTTCATAATGAATATAAAAATATTTTGACACATAATTTCTTTTGTGCAACTTTAATAAATTCTAAAAGAAGGTGCGTATTTTTTTTATTTTCCTTTTCCACCAATGTAAGTTAGTATAAGTTTAGAGAAGTAAATAAGCTAATGCTAACTTTAGAAAAGGAGGATACCGGATGGGCTGGTAAGGTTTGAGTACAAGGTAATAGTTCAAACCCTCATGTTGTATAAAAAGAAAAATAGAAAAGATGTTGGCATAACATCAAACAAATTAAAAATGGCATAATTTATTTATATTTTTAAAAAATATTTAAATTAAAATCATCAAGGCAAAATATAAATCTATAGCATGCCATACATTTGCAAATTATGAACAAGTGGACTCATCATTAATAAAATTTCTTATAATATAGAGAAAAACCTCTCTAATTAATAAATATCTGTATCATATATCTTAGTTTAATTTTTTGTTTGGCACCATTCGCTTTATTCACACATACGCATGCACATTTATTATGTACAATTTTGTGCGATTGAGATTCCAACTGTTAATCATGAGTCTGAATGAAAATGTAATTCAAAACTGGAAGAAAAGGTCAATAAAACTGTATATATGTATGTTGCAAGACTTGACGTTATAAAATATATATATATATCACTACATTCCCTATGAATTGATCTACACTTAGAAAAATTAAATTTCCAAACAATAATCTAAATACCGTCAAATTAGCAACTTGAATATTTTGTTCAAAGCCTCGATCAAACTTTAGTTTTCACTGATTTTACAAATTATTCTCACTTTTTTGACTAAACGAAGTAATGAACATTTCTGATATGCATCCAGGTGGCTGGGTGAGAGCATCACCAATAGTGCAATACTTGAGGTCAAGAATTTCAAAGTACAAATGCAGGCTACAGTTCAACAATGGAGGGAGGAATATCAACAATATATTCTCGATCCAATGGAGTGGATTCAATGTTTGGTTATGTCTCATATATAAAAAGGAATTAGAAGGAGGACTAACCATTCACGGTAGCTTTATTCTTTTTTTGCATTATAAGGAATCAAAAGAAGGATAGGCTATTAATTACGACATCTTTGTGTTTCACTTCATGATCACTACTAGATAGAAAGAGATGCTTAATTTTGTGGGTTCCATGTGTTAGGTTGAACTTGTCCCTTGTTGAGATTGATTCTTTGTGTCTCATAAGAAGAAAGCAAAAGATAAGATACCTTCTTAATTTTTGGCAGAATAATAAGAAGTTGCTTTTTATTTTCAAAATAAATGAAATGCTTTCCTTTGGCCTTTCTCAGACAACATTGCGAGCTTCATCTTCCTCCAAGAAGCGTTGGAAAAACTGCCCAATATTCTACAACTGATTTTCTGTCATGGCATCTGACATTGCCAGAATTTTGAGGAAACAATACTTTAAGTGTGTTTGGGTAACTCACTTTTAACATTTGAGAAGTATTTTCTCACTTTTGGTACATGAAATATTATTTGAAAAAGAAATAAAGAGATGAAAATACGTTCTAAAAGTACTTTAATAATGTTATTGAAAGTGAATTTATAAATATAAGATGATAGAGCTTTTAAAATGTGGATTTGGAAAGTGGGGTGCAATTTAACCATGATATTTCAAGTATAATCTATTATTCTTTTATTTAACAAATATTGTTAATTCATTAAAAATATAATAATCATTTAAATAATAATAATAATAATAATAATAATAATAATTAGAGATCAAGTTTTTAATATTATACATTGAATAATTAATTATGTTAATGTGTAGCATTGATTTATATTCAACTCTTTATAAAATTTTTGTCAAATAAATCAAATTTTATAATTTATAGTTTTATTATTTAATATATCAAATTTTATGTTATTTACAATTTTTATCAACCAATAAAGGTTTTTAAATTTTTTTGAATAAAAAATGTATCATATATTTTTTAAATCATGTTAATTTTTAATATTAATGTATCTCAAACTATTTACTATATGATTTTTTTCAACATCTCAAACTTTATATTTTTTATCCTTGTTATTTAACATATTAATTTTTATGTTATTTTCAATTTTTTTCACATTTTAAAACATTTCTATTATATTATATTTCTATAATACAAATTATAAATTATCATAAATCAATATCCTATTTTGTCATTAGATATTTAAAAGCACATTTTAAAAGTATAAATCATCATTAATCCAAACAACTTATAGTTTGCCAAACTAACATCTAAAAAAATATATCCAAATATAAATTTTGTTACAATAATTGACTTTATTGAATTTACTTTTATTAAATGAACTTTTAGCAAATAGACTTTTAACAAATTAAAAATCAAAAAAATACTTAGATTCATTATTTAAGTGCTAAAGAGAAGTCCTACTCATCATTGGATATGTTCAATAGATTTCAAAAGATCGGAGAGAAGTTGAAGGAGAATGATGCATGGCTAACCAGGCACGAATCCATCCTATTGCTTTGTGATCTTCATGACGCCCTCCACAACTGGCGAATCCTCAAGGAACAAATTAAAAGAAGTCTATCAAGAGAATTTCAATTTCCTTCTCTGATATGGCTCAAATCAGGAATGAAGATTCCAGTGTCAACAAAAAAGTTCACAACATGGAAAGAGAAATTGGAGAAAGAAGCAGCCGATGGTTTGTTTCCCCCTGCTAGTACCTTGTTAGACTGATTTACATCCTACGAGTCTGGTCATCCATCAGATATTGCGAAATTTGACAAACATGAATAAAAGATAGTTGATTGGCTCTCGGCGTTGAGTGGTGGTGAATACAAGGCCGTTAGAATTTATA